GAGGCAATTCCCCAATTGAGGCTCCCTCAACCCAGGTGTGTCAAGTTGACACTGAAGCTATCCAGCACATACACACATAAATTCACTCATACAAGTAAAACAATACATAAAAATTTAAAAAAGAATATAAAGTTTTGGGTTTTAGTGTTTGTATTATCAAGCAATTAAGAAAAACATGAAATTGTACTTGAGATATGCTCTCTTTGGAGCCCCAGTACTTACACCTGCCCCTGGGACCTCCAGGCCCTCTGTCACCTTTGTAGCCCCATTCCCCATCCACCCATATCCACCCATGCAACAAGATTCTCTGCGAAGCATGCCATCTGTGCTGATGCCACACTCCAGCTGACGCTGTTAGCCCAGGAAAGAGGCCTAACATGTCACTGAATGGCTCCCCATCAGCTTCAGGACATTGCATAAATCATACTGTTTTAGGAACTGCTGTTTATAAATGTAGTGCAAAAATTATGAGAGATTGACTTCTTTAAAAAAATAACCCTCCACCATTTCTTTGTACATGTACAGTCTTGGCAGTCAGAGGATGACTTTTGGGAGTTGGTTCTCTCCTTCCACCATGTGGGTCCTGGGGATTGAATTCAGGTCATTAGACTTGGTGGCAGGTACCTTTACCCACATAGCCATTTTGCTGGCCTGAGGTTGACTTCTTATTAACCAATCGTATTATTATTATTATTATTATTTTTATGTATTGTTATAGAACTTATTTCCCTGAAAAATATCACAGCCAGATTTTGTCTTCTACTTTTTGGACCTAATTTCGTTTACCCATGTTTGAGTCTGCAATGTCATTATAAAAGTATGGAGGCCTGGGCTGGAGGGATGGCTCAGTGGTTAAGGGCACTGACTGGTCTTGCAGAGGACCTGGATTTGATTCCCAGCACCCACATGGTGGCTACAAACCATCTTTAACTCCAGTTCCAGGGGAATCCGAAGCCCTCTTCTGATCTCTGCGGCATTGCTTAACACGGGTGCACTCACACACATGCAGGCAATACACTCATACACATAAAATAAAAATAATAAAGAAAATATTTTAAAAAGGTGTGGCAGCCCATTGTTGTCATCAGGAAAAGCAAACAGCCCAGGAAAGGCTATTTGAACCCCTGAGATGGGGTGGAGATTAAAGGAGAAAGGCTTTGTCTTAAAGATATCTTTTCTCATAAAAAAAAATCAATCTCACTTTACTCTGAAAAAAATATAAGAACAGGAGAGCTCATTTGCAGAGCTGAAAATCTGAAAGCATAAAGAGATGGTAATTTGCTAAAAATATACTCTATCTCGATGCATTTCCATCATGTGGGTTGCGAGCAGCGTGTCCAGGCTTCATCTGCAAAGAAAGATACCTCATCTGAGCCTGCAGTCAGGATGAGGGTGCAGTGGTTTTGATGTGCTTCCTCTAAAGTGAACACACTTTAGCGATGTCTCCATTAGACTTATTTTCTCATAGACAGAAGGCGGCAGAACAATTGTAGTTTGGGTTGTCATCATTTACAGGGAGCCTACCACACACCTGTGCAAACTGTCCTCGCAGTCATTCCTTCTGCAGACTTAGGTCTAGAAGGGGAGCCGAACATAAAGCAAATAATTATGCACATTGTTCTTTCATTAAAATTGGGATGCAACAAGGCAAAGGTGCGAACTGTTATAAAAATTTACAGAGAAGAGAATTAAAGTGCCAGAAAAGCCTAAGTGTCAAAACTCAAATCACATTAGGAAAGTTAAAAAAAAAATGTACTGTACAATAAGAGAAAATACAAATTGTGACCCAAAAGGCCTCAAAAACTGGTAAGAGACTCACATGTTACTTTCGGCAACTTCTATAGCAAAAATATGGGCATTCTTTAACCTTTAGAAAGGTCAGCTACCACAATGTCGCATGTCAGGGGACTGGTTAAAAATCATTATCTTATACCATTTTTGGAGGCCAATTTGAGTTAAAATCAGAGTACTCCCAAAGCATGGTTACTATCAGAATGTGCGCTTGTATTCACAGGCTGGACTGAAACGGAGAAAATGCTTTTTCAAATAATTTATGTTGGGCTGCGATCGTAAACCCAATTTGGTTTTCTTAGTTTTTTCAGCCTAGGAGCCATCAACATAAATTGCCAACTCTACATTAGTTAATGCTAAATTGGTGACTAGATTACAGTGGAAATGGAAATCTGATCTAGGAGTAATGTTTTAGGAACTTGTTTGACACAGTTGTGATGACTCTCTCTCTGCTTAGTAAAGGTAAAAGGGCAGGAGGACCTAGAGGTACAGTGTAAATATGTAGATCTGAAGGACACAGAGTCTTGTAAGATATTAATCTGTTAGTTGAAAAACATTGAGTATGTTTTCTCATAAACGTTTTACAGCATAAGGAACTTGCAGACATCTCATTTTCTTGAATTAAGCCCTGAAGATAATTCCACAGTCTTAGCGGCTGTAGCTACTGTTTTTAGATTATTTGGACATGCTCTGGCAATTAAGTCCAACTGCAGCTTGTGATAAGCTACAGATTGTTTACTTTTTCTTCCATGTCCCTCCCTCCCCCATCCCTCCCTTCTCTCTTTTCCCTCCCTCCCTCTTCCTACCTAGGGGTAAGACATTAAGCTTCATTCATGCTAGGTAAGCACCCTGTCACTGAGCTATGCCTCTAGCACTCCTCCATGTTCTTGAGTAAAGATGTATGTATATAGCCTGACTGTTCCATTCATGGACAAACAGCATGAAAGATTTGGAATAATTTGCAAGTTCTACTGGCGGAAGGTTTTATAAAACCCACTGAAGTTCAATAAAGGCCGTTTTATGTTTTGTTTCCAAGGAAGAGTCTCCTGAATGCCACTTTTGCTTAGCTCATAGAGCAGAGACTAAAATAAAAGAAAATCGGGGGCCTAGGACCTCCAAACCCAGGGAACCCTCCAAAATGCCTTTGCAGAATTTGGGGTAGTTGTCTGGGGACAAGAAAATATTTTTTGCAGATGATTCATGCCTGGGTGATGTTATAAAAGTTGAAGTGGAGCGCATGTGACTTTCTGACCCTTGCAAACTGATTGAATCAGTACCTGAATCTGCTTAGAATGAAATGCAAAGAAGCAAATCTTGTACTTACTGAATCAGGGCAGAATTGAAGTTTAAACCTTGATGTAAAATGTGTGAGAACTATGAAAAAGACTCCGCAAATCCCTGAGATGTTACTGTCCCAGTATATTGTTCTTTTCCTAGGTGAACAAATACTGTCTCTTTGTCTCCAGGGATGCTATTAATAAAGTACATAATGTAAAAATCAAAGCATAGTTTCTTTTTTATATTTTATTTATTTTTGTTTTATGTGTATACGTGTATTGCCTGCATGTAGGTAAGTGCACCCATGTCATGCAATACCAGCGGAGGACAGAAGAGGCTGTTGGATCCCCTGGAACTGGAGTTACGGACCATTGTTAGCTGCCATGTGGGTGCTGGGATTCGAACCCGGGTCTTCTGCAAGAACAGTCAGTGTTCTTAACCACTGAGCCATCTCTCCAGCCCCCAAAGCATAGTTTCTTTGTTGTGAATCATTTGGGTTGAGGGGGCACACTTGTCAGTAAGGCGCTTAGGAAATTGTGGATTAACTATGGCTCTAAGATCTTGTATGAAGCTTCATTGTGCTCAGTGAAGTCTTTGGACTTTATTGCATATTAGCCAGGGTTCTCTAGAGGAACATAACCAATAGAATAAATATATATTAAAAGGGGATTTATTAGATTGGCATACACAATACAGACTGGGTGGTCCAACAACGCTGTCTGCATACTGGAGAGGATGAGAACTCAGTCGCTGCCTAGTCCATGAGGCATATTCCCATTCTGGCGCTGAAAGGAGGGTTCCTGGAGAGCTGCTGGTCTTTAGAACACTCTGGAAGGCTGAAGAAGCTGTATTCCTGGGTCAGTGAAGGATGGCAGCAACAGAGCACATGCAGTCACCAGAATGAAGTGAGGGCAGGATGGCAAAAGCAACTCTGCTTATCCCTCAATCCTCTCTATGTCTGGGTTGCTGCCATTGGAAGGTGCTGCCCATTCTGGGGGAGGCTCTTCCCCATCTCAATGAATCCTTCCAGGAAATACCCTCCCAGACCTCCCAGAGGTCTCTTAGTTGATGTGAGTTCACAACCGAGGTTAACCACTATAAGTAGAATGGGAGTATTTCAAGGATTTTTTATAAGGAACAGTAAGGCTGTGCTTTATCGTCAACTGTTATAGGAGTGAGCCAAGGGTTTCAGGTTTGAGAGAGTGCTGAGCAATTTAGGAAGCTGTTTTGAAGGATCAGTCTGAATTTTAGCAGGCTCAGCTCTTTTTATTTCTCTCAGATCTGTAGAATGGGCCCACCGAGTATCAGGGAATTGAGAGAGAGGTATTTTGATGAAATTTTACAGTCTACCCAGAACAACCACTTTGGACCTGGTAAACACATATTTCAGTGTCTTGAAAAATCTGGGATTCTTAATATTATTTCTCCTGAGCAAATCTGATTTGACCTTCTACTGTACAATACAGGTTTGCTCTTAGGGCTGAATCACATAATAGAAAAGAATGACTTTCAGAGAAAGAAATGTGGCTGACAGTTATAGGTTCCTACAAGGAAACCTCTTCAATTTGATTATAAACTCCCACCAGTGAGGTTTTTTTTTTTCTTTTAATTACTCTGAGGAAGATTTTGATTTATCATGATGGGGTTTAGAGAGAGTATCTACTAACACAGTATAAATCTCTCCATTTATTTCAAGTGTAGTTTCTCTGTGTGAATTTAAAGGAATTATGTGAAGCAGCTTGCTGGGAAACTCATCAGAGTCCTGCCAACATTGACCAATATCACAGGAAATATGAGGTTAGAGTCTTCTCATCCCCGGGCAGATGGTATAGGTTCCTTTTTGATGGTGTTCAAAGGTAAATTATTTTTCCAGTGTTCTCATTTTGCTTTCAGTAGTGATGACTGTTTTTGTGGAAGAGTTGTTGGATAAGGATGTTTCAGTTAGGGTGTGGCTCCTGCATTGGCTGTAATTGTAGTCATACATTTATTTGTCCGGTGGCTTCCTTTTTTGTTGCAATATTCTCTCAAAGTGTTCTGCTAAATGTTGTAACTTTGTCAAGGGACTCAAGCCTCATTCAAGTTTATATTTCTTTAATATATTACTTATCTCTATGTGTAGTTCATTAGCCAAATGGGCTGGAAAAGCTACTCATTCCAGCCGCTAAAGCCAGTGCGCTATGTAAATATGTTCTCTAAGCAAATGGGAAGGTCCAGAGAAAGTTCATCTTTTCATCTCTTGAGAAGATTGGATTATGGTCCAATCTACCCTCACAGTGAAGCCCTCGATTATGACTTCAGGGAGCAATTGCCTTATTTTCTAGTTTCTTTTTTCTATTATCATAGACATGCTTGCCAGGATGTTCAAAATCTTCAGTGGGATCTTTCAATCTACTTCTTGACCAACTTTCAGCATTTCTAGGACTGAGTATGATGTGAAAAAACTAATCTGATGCTGGGTGTCTTGAATCACAGCAATAAAAAAATCTTAAGCTCTTTTTAAAATATTTTTAAAGTAAGTGTGTGTGTGTGTGTACATGTTTTCGAAGTTATGTGGAGGCCTCAGGAATACTGGGTTTCTACCTCAATTACTCTCCATCTTTGATTTTGAGACAGGGTCTCTCACTGAACCTGGAGCTTGCCAATTGCCTAGACGAGTTGGACAGCAAGCTTCAGAGATCTTGTCTCCATTTCCTCAGTGCCAGAATTATAGGCAACTGCTGCTGTGTCTGGTTTTTAAATGGGTGCTGGGGGTCAAATTTGGGTCCTCATGCTTGTGTGGCAAGCAGTTTACCCATCTCTCCAGCCCTTTCCCAGCCCTCTGGAAAATCCCTTGTAATGGGCTTGGAGGTCATCTGGAGAATACAGTTTAAATTCTCCTGAGGTTGGTAATGCAGCTTCACTGCAAAGACTTTTATTATTATTATTATTATTATTATTATTCATTGTTATTTTGAGAGAGGGTCTCCCTGTAGCCCAGCTGACCTGGAACTCTCTGTATAGACTAGGCTGGCTTTGATCTCATAAATTCAGGTCTGCCTGCCTCTGCCTCCTCAGTGCTGGGTTTAATGGTGTGCACCACCACACTCAGCAATAAAGATTTATTTTACAAGGTATTTGTTGCTGGGGTCTTTGGAGCAAGGGACAAGGGCTTCCTCTTCAGAAGGATCAGGCAACAGAGGCTGGAGAAGAACAAGGGAGTAGCAGGCTTCTGCCATGGAAGTTGGCTCAGTCTGCATCTTAGCCTCTGATTTCTCACTAGTACATTCTCTTAGGGAGGAAATCCTAGAACCATTCTGTGATTTAGGATTCTTTGCTTGCCAATCAAAGGTGTGTTCCATTGTTTTGAGAAGTTTTATAGCTTCTATTTTCAAGCATGCTTTTAAGATGGGCTATTTTCTCTCTATGTAAAAGGTTATCTACCAAAAGTGGTCACTGAAATTTCCGAATTATCTTCAACGAAGTAGAGCCCCTTCACCCCACCCCCGTCCCCCCAAGCACAAGATCTTGGCCCGTGATTTTTAAACTTGCAGGTGGCAGGAGTTCTAGGTGGAGGATTTGTACAACCATCGTGGCCTTTGATGTCTCTAAGATGCTAAGAAAGTTCTGACAATTCCAGCCAAAGGGTCTACTGTCTTGGAATTCATGAAACAGGGTCTCCATCTCCTTTGTTGAATGTAAAAGAGTAACCTATCCTACTTCAGAAAAACAAATTATCATTTTATGTACAACAAACAGGGCTACAGTCCAAGAGGGACTCACCATGGAACTCTTTAGTGGAGAAGAAAGTTTGGTGGGCAGCTAGGTATCTGTACCCAGGCACTCACAAACACTCACTGAAGAACTCCTTCAGGTTCAACTTCTGTTTGTAAACTACCCAAAATACAATCAGATTAAATTGCACACTTTATATTTTTATTTCATAAAACAAAAGAGGGTACAGGTTCCAGTCTGGGAAGTCTATGATGGAAGGTGGCAAGATGCTTAAAGTGGAGTTAGACAGATTGCTCAGTGGTTAAAAGCTCTTGTTGCTCTTGAAGAGGACTGGGGTTCGGTTTCTAGCACCCACATGGTGGCCCACAACTGTCCATAACTTCAGTTCCAGGGCATCTGATGTCCTCTTCTAGCCTCTGAGCATACTAGGTATGCATGTGTGCACTTACAAAATACACTCAGGCAAAACACTCATATACATAATTTTTTAATTGAAAAAAAAAAGTGCTCTTAGCCACACCATCATATGTGTTAGAAAACAAAAAGAAGACATTGGTTAGTTTTCCTAATAAGGGTTTCTAGGTGTCAAAGACTTGATAAAAAGAAAATCCTTAGTCTATCTGCTGGATAATCTGTTTTATTTTTGGAGGTCAAGTTTTGCATATGATTATCACAGGCATCACAAGAAATACGTTTCACTTACACTAGGAACTCAAGCAAGTTTGATTTTGCTTATGTAGCGTAACTGGTTTTGTTTGACCAGAGACTCTTCTGACCTGGTATCTATTTTTTTTTTAATATATATAAGAATGACATTTAAGAGACACAATCAATTAGAGTTAATCAGGTGATGCTAAATTGGGAGGTGGAAAAGGAAAGAAAAGGGAATTCTAAGCAACAATGTCCCAATGATTGCAATCACTGAGGGGAGGGCTGTACTTTAATAGCTCATTTAACCTCCATCCTTGACCGGTAAAGTGTAGGCTAGGGAGATTCAAAGTGCCAGTCTGTGTGAAGATTGGCCTTTCTCTCTGACAAACTTCCTGGGAGAAACAGTGTTAGAAGCAAGTGACCTAGTTCCAGACTCTTAAATGCCTATACTATCACCAGTGTTTTGAAGAATAGTTTCACTGTGAGGAGATCAGAAGTCTGTATTTTATCACCAGCTTTCAATGCCAACACACATTCTTCATCTAAATATTTCAGTTTTTATTTTCAAGTCACTCTCCATCAACCACTCACCTAGCCTCATAATCAACTTCTAATTCCACTGAAGAAACTTGTCATCACCAAGATAAAAAATTATAAATATATCTATTTACCTGTGGTGCTTACGATCAAACACAGGGCCTTATCAAGTTAGGCTGAGCTGTATCATCATCTTCCCAAGTCTTGAATTTATTCATTGTTATTTTATTTTGTGGTGCTGAGAGCGAACCCAGGACCTCACATGTGCTCGGGAAGCAGTGACACTGAATTACGTCCCCAGCCCTCTTTTTGCTTTTTTTAAAAATTTTGAGACAAGATCTCACTAAGTTGCCCAGGTTGGCCTTGAACTTCAAATCCTCATGCTTCATTCTCTGGACTAGATGGCATTATAAACCTGCACTACCAGGCTTAGATTCTAAAACACTGAACTTAAATAAGCTTTTTGACAAAAAGACAGAAATCATATATATCCCCAGATCTCTCCTTGTCTTTGATTTCATAGACCTCCTTTTCAGCCTTGACTTACCCCATTCTCCTTTATACATCTGTCATCATTGATTTTCCTCTGCATCATCATAAATGTGGTCTATCAGTTCAGGCCCCTTGACTTACCCCATTCTCCTTTATACATCTGTCATCATTGATTTTCCTCTGCATCATCATAAATGTGGTCTATCAGTTCAGGCCCCTTGACAGCATCCTTACCTCAGTTTAGCCTATTGTGTTTCCTTGTCATTCAACTGTCACTCGGCTCACACCAAGGAAATGTTGGCCTTCTAAATTGCTTCATCATCACAAAGATCAATGCCATGGCAAACTAGTGGCCCTCAGACTGAAGTCAGTCACCAAATGGATTTGGCAATCCTGTTTTTCCAGTGTCAGCTCTACTCAGATCTCCTGCCTTATCATCTGCTTGTTTGGTCTTAGTCATCTTAGGAGGAATCTTGCTCCTGGTTCACTGAAGCTAAACCACTTTGACGACTATCCACCTGTCTGCCTGAATTCCAAACATCTTACCATGGTGTATTAGTTCTGTTGCTGTGCTAAAAACACTATGATCAAGGCAACTAATAGAAAGAAGGGTTAATTTGGCTTACGGTTCCAGAGAGAGAGAGCCCATAATGACGGGGAGGCATGGTGGACAGAGCAGAAAGCCGAGAGCTCACATCTTTGGTCAGTTGCAGGAAGTAGAGAGAAAGCCGAGCTTGAACTGGAGCAAGGCTATGAACTCTGAAAGGGCCCTCAGTGACATGCTGCCTCCAGAGGCCACACCTCCTAAAGGTTCCGTGACCCTCCCCCAAAAGCACCACCGGCTGACCAAGTGTTTGAGCCTGTGGAGGACATTCCCATTCACACTACCACACTGGGCTTGCAAAGCTCCGTCTCCACCATCCTCTTCCTACCACGCAGTGTACCTCTTACTCACCGTGGCACAGTCACGTTGAATTTGTTGGAATTCCTACATGATTAGTGCTTTCCTTAGCTTCCTGACAGTCAAAAACTATGATTTTTACTTAGAAATCAGGTGAATTCCTCCCTGATCCCCCTGCAACTTCTGGCAGAAATTGCCTCTGAACCCTGAAAACTGACTTATGTACTCTCTCCTTACACTTTCATGATTAATTTATCGTTCATATCATGCACTATAGAATTATTTTTTGTCTATTCATCTGTGTGCCTCTCTACACCATAAACTACTTGGGGAAAAGTACTGCTTTGTGTTAAATGTCATTTCCCTTCTAAAAAGCAGCACAGCACATTTTTAATGAAGGGTAGTTCTCAAGGTCACTGGCATCCACTGAGAGTCAAGAAAGATAAGAATCACGATGAATGAGAAGAGAAAATGGGGGGAGGACGAGAAAGCACAGGAGTCTCCCCATATGTCTTCAGACATCTGATGAGGGAGAAGGTCACAGACCACAGGCACACAGGGCTATCAGGATCCCAGGTCACTGCGAAGGGGAGAAGAGCACTGTAAAAGCCAGTTGTCATTTACAACTCCCCTTTCTCTCACATCTCACATTCAAGCCTGTAACCCAACATCCACCCCACATCCTCACTTCTGCCCTTTTCCTGCTTTAACCCTAGTCCAAGACACTCTTGTTTAGTACCTGCATTATTGTAAGAGCCTCCTAGTGGAGTTCCTTGCCCTTGTGCTCGACCTCTTCCCCGTCTATTATCAACCTAGCAATTTTAGCTTCTTTTGACCGACAAGCGAAAAATGTCATGTCTTATCTTAAATTCCTCTAATGGAGTCACATCTTACTCTAAAAGTTGAAGTCCTCTCAAGACCTCATGACACTTGTGATGTGGCCACTGTTCACCTCGCTGGTCTCGTTGGTGTCCTGTTATTCTCCCCCCTGTGTCGTTCCACCACAGTGGCTGCCTTGCTGCCCCCTTGACTTGTAGAAATACATGCTTTTGTAGTGTGAACACAGAACTCATGAAACTTCCTTTCTTTCTCACAGGGAAAACGCACATCATATACATGGTTCTATATCTTGATCTTTTTCATTTAGTCTGAAAGACTTTTACATATTATAATACATAGGGGACCTCTTTCTTTTTACATCTTAGATTCCTTTAAGTAAACAGATTCACCATGACTTATGTTGTTTGTCCTCTACTGGGGAGCACTTGAACTGTCTATAAATATTTTCTAGGGACTGGAGAGATAGCTCAGTAGTTAAGAGCACTGGCTGCTCTTGCAGAGGACCTGGGTTCAATTCCCAGCACCCACATAGCACCGTCCATAGCTCCAGCTCCAGGGGATCCAATGCCCTCTTCTGTTCTCCGAGGGCATTGACAACATGGGTGCACTTACACACATGCAGGCATAATACTCATACACAGAAAATAAAAATAATAGCAATAGATAACTTATTCAGATGTCTGAGTACATGTCAGATGTCTGAGCCTCTTAAGACACATGGGAACTGTTTGTTAAAGGGTAAAATACACTTGTAATTTAGATAAATATTTCCAAACCATTCTTTCCATTCGATAATAAAATATATAGCCTTTATTGAATTTTTAAAATATTTATTTATTTATTCTTATGTGTATGAGTGTTTTGCCTGCATGTATGTAAGTGCACTCATGCATGAAATGCCTGAGAAGGCCAGAAGAGGGTGATGGATCTCCTGGAACTGGAGTTACAGATGGTTGGTAGTTGCCTTGTGAGTGCTAGGAACTGAATACAGGTTCTCTGTAAGAGCAGCCAGTGCTCTTAACCACTGAGACATCTTTCCTGCATACTTGAATTAAAAAACTCCCCCTTTCTTGAATATTTTAAGTTTATAAGCTATCTCCTTTTCTTTTCTCTGACTTCTCTGTATCTTTTACTTATTTAACTCTTGGGTTGTTATTAACTTTCTCTCACCTGGGCGTGGTGGCACACACCTTTAATCTCAGCACCCTGGAGGCAGAAGTTGGTGGATCTCTGTGAGAACAAGGCTGGTCTGTTTTCTATGGTGAATTCTAGGCCAACTGGGGCTACCTGGAGATTCTGTCTCAAAAAGAAAAAAAAAATTCTCTCAATCTCTAGAAATTCTTTTTTACATCATAGTGATAAAGCCTTGTCTATGATATGGGTTAAAATATATGTTTTCCCTCGATTTGTCATTTGTATTTATCTAACATTTTTTTTTTAGTAGTGTTATGCTATCTTACATTAATGCAGTCCAAAAGAAGTGTGATGCAGTCTAAGCTAGGACTTTCATCTATTTTGTGGTAGCATTTTCCTGTAGGAAAGTTGCACTGTTAAGTTCTTTCTAGTTTTCATGTGTGGTGAGCCTCATCTTCTGTCTCCCATTGATGGATGCTGGTTGGGAGAAGCACCAGGTGCCTCTACTTAACAGTGTCAACTTTCGATCTTTTGTCTTTATGGTGGTGACATGCATTCAGCAAAACCTATTCATTGGGCTAGTGACATGCCACACAATCCTCTGTCGTGTTGTTGGGTAGCAGCAGTGAACTGTAGCAACCAGCCAGCCACGTGACAGTGAGCGTTGGCAACTCGAGTTGCAGTGTGCTGAACATTATGGTGTTCGCTAGGCTAGGTGTATTAAATACGTTTTCACTTACAGTATTTGCAGTTTAGGATGGTGTTAGCAGAGCAGAACTGTATTGTGAGGAAGGGAACATCTGCAGTACAAGCTGGATTTTGACCTTTTGCCTCTATCATTTGCCCTGACATCTCAAAGGAATGTCTTTTCCTTTAAACATTTTTAAGATCTAACAAATTTATCAATATGTTTTGGTGCTGACTATTCTAGGATTATTTTTTTTCTGAATACATAATGTGCTCTTTAAGTTTTCTTTTTACCTTAGCAGTTTTCTTAGACTGTATCTTAAACCATTTTCTTTATGGAAACAAGAAGGTCGATCTCTACTTGTCTTTCATGATATTTGTGCTAACTTATGTATTTGTTACTTTTGCAAAACAACTTTATGGGTGGAGAATTTTGGCTCACAGTCTTGGAGGTGAGGTTAATGGTTGCTTGGTCCTTCTGCTTGTGCAGAACATTGTGGAGAAGGGGTATGTGATGGAAGCTGTTGCTCACTGCTTAGAGTACAGGATTTCCCTCAAGATACGTTCTGCTGGCATGTACCAGAGACCAGTGATGGCCTGAGCCCTACAAAACTATGAGCAAGATGGTTAATTCCCTGTAAATTGTTTGACTTAGATATTTGGGTCACAACACTGTAAAAATAACTAATATACCAGGTGGTACACTCACTATTAGTAGGTATAGTTTGTTGGCATTAGGATCTACCTTCTGTGGATCCCTGCATGCACTTTGCAAGCTGTATTTTTTGTCTCTTCAGGACCTTGTCCTGGGCATTTTTCCTGCATAGATTTAGATCTACTGGCAGGCCTTCCCCACAGTCCTCCGCCTGCCTCACGATTTCCCGTGCATGATTCACAATGTGCTGTTTGCAGGTTCTCTCTGTCTCTTAATTTCACAGAAAAATACTTTTATGTCCTTGTCCCCATTCTTTTCTTGTTGTTTTGTCATTCATTTTTCAAAAAGAAAACACAGAGACAGGAGAAGACCCATCCTGGAGCTGCCACTCTGTTCCTCAGGGAGTGTGATTGCTCGCCCCCAGAGATGAGGCCATGGTATTGCAGAGGGAAACAGAAACAAGTGGGACTGTGTCCACAGGCTGTCACTGAAGAGCCTTTCCTTTGTTGGGCTAATTTGGAGACTTAATTTCAGAGGCAGTATGGTAATAGGAGCTCCTGCTGTAAAAGAAATGATATGAACTAGAGGGATTTGTTAGGATTACACAGTTAAGTGTTTCCATCACCCAGGGTCTCTGGAATTGGAAGCACTGTCACAGAGAGCAAATCTTTCTGTATGCAATTGGAATTTGGGTGATTTTCCAAAGATTTTTATTTGAGGTTGCTTAAATTTACAAAGTCTAAGTAGATGTTTTAGATGATGAGCCTTTTCAAGGAAACAGTTCCCTACCTAATGAATCCTACTCATCCTGCACAGCAGTGTGCCCACTTTGTTTAAAGATACATTTTTTTTGGTATGGTAGAATAAATGATTTGATTATAGAGAAAACATGGGCCCCACTTTAATTTGAAATGCTCTTTCCAGGTCAAGAATACTGTCCTAGTTTGTTTCTTCATTGCTGTGACAAGATACTCTGACCACTACCAACTTGGGGAGGAAAGGGTTTATTTAGCTTACATGTCCCGGCTCACAGTTCATCCAGGGGCCCAAGGTAGGAACTCAGGGCAGGAATCTAGAGGCAGGAGCTGGAGCACAGGCCATGGAGGAATGCTGCTTACTGGCTTGCTCCCCTGGCCCTTGCTCAGCTTGCTCTTATCCAACACAGGCCCACCTGCCCAGGGGTGGTACTACCCACAGTGGGCTGGACCCTCCCACTCAACAATCAAGAAGATGCCCCTCAGACATGGCCACAGGCCAGTCCAATGGAGGCAATTCCCCAATTGAGGCTCCCTCAACCCAGGTATGTCAAGTTGACACTAAAGCTATCCAGTACAAATAAATACACACGGCTTTCCACTGCCATACAGTCTTTCAGTACAATTAGGCTAAATAAAGGTTCTTGAAAATTTAGGTCCACAACACACACCTGTTGGAATAGGAAAAATCCAAAACAGGACAAGGAGGTGAAGCCACAGGAACTCTCATTCAGTACT